GAAAGAAAGTTTTTTTTAAAGCACTGTGGGAATTCTGTCGAATAAAAAGAGAAGTAAAAGTGAGGATTCATGACTGTTGAGCAGCGTCATGGTTTCCTCAGGCCGTTTCGTTCAGTGTTTGACTACGTTATCCAGTCCTCTTTCACATACCACCCCCAGAGCAGACAGCGAATGCAAGCCCACGACTATTTACTAACAAACACACAACACGCAAGACGCTGTCACTAATACTGTGCGTGCCCAGGCATGCACATGCGCACAGGGACGCACCACTGGTATTTCTCCCACTGACCTTTCTCCGGACCTCCAGCCTTGGTGACTTTCCGGTCCTTCAGCAGAGCCTTGGTGTTCTGTATCTGTGAGATAAGACAGGAAGAAGGCTGTCTATATGAAACTGGACTTTTCTCAGTTTTCTTTGGGAGCTGACGGTGAAGAATCTCCCCTTTCTTTTCTTGTTCTTTGAGTTTTTTGTCCTTTAAGTTGTAAAACAAACAAGAACAATTTGGTTTACTTAAGGGAAGTTTAAATGACCCCCAGAATTATAAGCACACCACTTACCGAAGCCAAATTAAAAACTATACATTTACAAGGAACTTATCCTGGCTACTCAAAATAACTAAATCTTCCATGGCTCGTTTTCCTGTGATCTATTTGACATGATTTCATGCCTCCCATCTGCTCTGACACTCATGCAGTGTGAAAGTTGGTTTGGGAAAATTAAAGGAAAAGGAAAGCTTTCTCTTCGTACGCCATTTGTCCTAGGAGACCTTGTTGGACCAAGCAGATGCAGGTTCGTGCTCCTTCATACCTGAAATTTGCCTCCCCGTTTAAACACCCAAAAAAAGGTCTTTGATTTCTCTTTATTGCACTTCCTCTGATATTTGAAAAGGTGAGCTGCAGAGCTTTAAAGAAGTTTAAATGCTTTGAGTCATTTATCTTCTGTCCAAACAAGATCGGGAGGAATCCGATGCTACGCGCGTGTTAGGCTGCAATGCTGGGGCTGCACCTGTGAAGGAGTGCGAGCTGAGTATTACAGCCAACCACCCAGACCTTGCAGTGTTTTATAGCATCTCTGCAACTGCACAAGACATGGAGGGGGAGAAAATTACTGGCCCAACCCGTTACTGAGCCCTAACTGCTTTTCGTGATGGGAAGGCAGCTGAAGGTGGGACTGCAAACGCATACATCCTAAAAGACAGGTTTGATCTCCAGTGATGACAGAGGAAAAACAGAACCTGGGAGTGGGACTCTGAAGAGGAATCCAATTTTCAAAGCACTGTTGCACAGTGAAAATTCATTGTATCTTTTTTCAACATGAATCACTAGATTCTGCAAGCTGCGTAACACTCTTTGCACTGATTTGAGAGAGCTAGAAGTCTTATTTCACTTCTAAAAATCAGGCATCAAATTTGTGGCTCATATTTTGCTATCCCTCAAAGACTTCAAGAATCTCTCACCTTTCTGGAACAAAGCTGTGTGGTCTGGTTTTAGATATCAATCTCAAACAAGTGGGGCTTTTGTTTTGGTTGCTTTGGGGTTGTTTCTTTAGTGGGGCATCTATGTGACATGCTTTGTGTGCTTGTAATTCTCATTTAAGCAACACGTTTCGCTGTGTCTTATTGAAAAGTCACTGTAACTACAAGTCTTTTTTTAAAAATGCAGGGAAGTTCCTTCACCCAGTTATGTGCCGAGGCCTGTATTTTGTCTGATAATTATGCACTGCCAAAGGGCTGGCTCTCCTGATGATTTTCTTTTGAAAGTTCATTGACATGAAGTCTATCAAAACCCTCAAATGCAAACTAACGTGCATACATGTGAGAGAGGGAAAGAAAGACGCAGAAGACAGCTCGGGTTGTCTTGGGCCACTAAACATGGAAACATATGAAGACACCTAAGAGGAAAATAACCAGACAGCACCCGTTTTGATGATTCCCAGCTCTGCCAGAGTCCAGCCCCCCGCACAGATGGTACGTGGGCACTGCTGGGCTCATTAACCTTTGACTTTTCAGAAGTTAAGGAGTTGGAAGGAAGAGCTTCAGTGAATCATGAGCTAGGGTTTTTACTTTTATAACACAAGTGGTTAGGTGACTTCGGAGAGCGAGAACCAGAGACCCTCTCTGAGCTCCTCACCGTCTTCACCTCAGTCTCCCTTTGTGCACATGTTGTTTGTCCCCAGCCTTCTCTCCATCCGTCCCTTATCCCCTCCAATTTCTTTCCCTTTAGCTAGCTAAAGCTGGCTAACCCTTCCGCAGAAACAAACCAATGCATTATGGAGCCATCATCACTTTGCTTACGTGATACCTTACGTTACACGTGATTGGTGGAGCACTGGAACAGGCTCCCCCAGGAGGTGGTCACGGCACCAAGCCTGACAATATGTAAGAAGCACTTGGACAATGCCCTCAGACATATGGTGTGAATTTTGGGGTTTCCTATGCAGGGACAGGAGTTGGACTCGATGATCCTTGTGGGTCCCTTCCAACTCAGGACATTCTATGATTCTATCATACCTCTTCGTCCACCTGATGTCTTTCTCCTTGTCTTTAGAGGCTGTGAACACCTCCGGCATTGAGCATTTATTCCTCCCTGCCCATGGTGCGCTTGGAACAATGCAACATCTGATTGGTCCCAGGCACTATCTTGGCAAGCACAGTCACTGCTGACGACGATGAAGTAATGACAACAGTAATAACAACAATAGTGATAATAATAATAACGCTGTGTGAATAACACCCAGCCACAACAGAGTCAGTGGGAGCTGTACAGTTAATTTTGAGCCCACCACACTGTATTTCCTCTCGAGGCTCTGAAACTCTGCTGCCAAGTTCAGCAGAGACTGGGCTCTACTGAGTATCTTTTTTTAAAGGTACTTGTGAGGATGAGACCAAGTGGTAACTATATTAAGCCTAAAGGAGCCGATCAAGAATGTTAGCGGCTTTCTGCTATTTTGGATAGGTGAGGAAAGAATTTGCATGTCGGTTGCTGCAGCATCTGTCAGAATACAGGACGTTTCAGTGCTGCAATATTCTTAGCCTAATGGTGCAAGAGCCAAGCCGCAGCTCCTCACCTGCCAAGTGCTCCTGACTTTAACTTCGCACTGCTGTGGTGTTTTCTAAGCAGCAGTAACACAGGCATACCGTACAATTAAACCCCCCCCAAAAAAGAAAATTCACATAGCCAGTGTTAGCAATGAATTACTTTACCCTGGATGAACGTTGCAACTAGTCTTTTAAGTATTTTTAAAATTTACTAAGATTGTTTCGCTTAGGTGATGGTTGTTGAAGGGGAAACGACCAAAATCCTAAACTCCCAAGGTGCCACATACTATTATATTTTAAAAGGAAAGGAACATTTCCTTCAGGGGAGTTATAAAAGTTTGCTCTTCACTGTACCGTGCCCAGCCATGTAACGGCATGCTGTCGCACAATGCAGGAGTTGTACCGTATGTTATACTTGAATAGGTTTGGCATTACATCATCCTCTGCTATTTCCTGTCCTGACCTCGACCTGAAAACCTACTCTTAGTCCCAGCAACGGATTCGAAAGGAAGATAAAGGGTATTTGCCTTAGCCGTGTCTAAAATAGTGATAGGAGAATGAAACAAGTTCTTAAAAATTGCAAATTCCCCAAGTCTGAGCCCACTGGCTACCCTGTGGGAAGCAAGTATCCCCAGCGCTGGTCCCCTGGATGTGCTGCAGGGATGACTGCTCATCACGTGAGGCCTCTCCAACAAAAAGAGTGAGATGGAGAGAGACAGACAGATTGCTGCTTCCCTCCTTCCTCCCTGTGCTGCCCATCTGCCCTGAGCACTAAAATGAAATCAGCCTGCCAAACAGCCTGGTTACTCAGCACCGACAGCAACTTCCAGCACCCTCAGCCCCAGTGCACTGATCCTACCACCCCAGGTTAGGAAACCTAATGGAGAAGGGGGTCTGGGCACGACCACTGCCCATCTGCCCTGCTGCCTTCCCCAGCAACAGCCGGTGCTGCTGGCAGGCAGCCCCCTGCCCGCGGCGAAGTCCTTATTTCACATCGCTGGAGTGAGGTGGAAGAAATTCAGTCGGCTGCTGAAGCTGAAGCTGACCAGCTCTCTCCCTGCTATTCCCATGGCAACGCACAGCTACGCTCTCCATGCAGTGTCTGCCTAGGGACCAGTGCCTCCCAGTTCCCCTCTGGAAATGGGGGGTGGTAAGGGGACTCTATCTGCAGCTGATGAACCTGCCTGAGCTTACAAAATCCCTACCCCTGTGTCCCGGTGGCACCCACTGATCCCAGCGGCATGAGCTAGACACTACCAGGGCTGTGTCTGAAGGCATTTTAGGAGAGATGTTTGCCATAGTTACAAAAGGCAGTGGCATCCCAGGGTCTGTATTCACCCACCTGTGCTGCTGTAACTGTCCTGGTACAGTAAGGGTAGCACAATCCCCTTGTGTAAATACAGCTAAAGCGATATAAAACATGCTTTATACTCAGCTATGGCCATGCAGAAAGAGAATATACTGTATTATTATCACTGTGTCTGCACTATGATTGCATCAAGGTAACTACTTCAAGAAAGAAATGACACCCCCTCATCCTCTAAATAGCTACACTGGGACTAACTCCGAGTGCGGGAGAGGCTTTGAAGGGAGCCTTTATCCCTAAGTATGCCTGCCAACCAAACTGGGGTCATGCAGTGGCACCACCGTTAGTTTTCAGTTATCCTTACGGAAGTCGAACACCAGTTCCCTTCTAGGGGCGCGGGGATTTCAGGACGACCACCACCAAACCAGACCACGCATTTCTCTCTCGGCTACGTGCGGGTGCACAGGCAGGCCTTGCTGCAGACTCCCCTGCACGGGGTCGGTACGCAGAAGCGGTAAGCTAATGCCTGGACAGGAGGCAGAGCCATCCGTGGCTCTCCGTCACTGCACAGAGAAGCGACACCAGCAGCTGGAGGAAGCTGGCCCGGAGAGCATCAGGACACACCACGCAACATCTGCAGCATTCACCTCCAGGTACCTGCCTGTGTTTCCAGAGGAAGGTTGCCCTGCAACGGCTTGAAGAAAGCTGTCAAAGAGCATTTTGAAATACTATATTCACTGAGTCTACCCACTGCTGATACATTTTAAGTAAGGTGGTTTTTGATTTATGTAAGAAAAGACTGATAAGTACTTTGCCCTGAAATTTTCATCTGGCTTGCAGTTCAACTTGTCTTGCAAGCAGTCTTTAAAATAAACAAAACCAGCTATGATACAAATCTGCCCCTGCAATTAGATCATCAATCTGGCGCTGAAGAGTAGCTTTTGAAATAGGTAGACTCTTCAAGAATACTGCTCTTTGTGTTGGTAGGTAAGACTTGCACAGCTCATATTATTCTTGTAATTTTAGTGCTTGGCAAAGAATCAGCCAGGGAAGAAAAATCCAGCCGTGAGAAGACTCCTATTATCTCATATGTACTCTTTTAATACAAATGACCTTCTCTATTTGCAAGCAAAAAGACCGGAGACCGACAGAGCAAAAGGTAACCTGGTTAAATCTTTTCTCTGGCAAAGGGAAATCCCTCACGATGCAGTGGGCTAGTTCTGCATCACTTCTGCTAAGAAGCAAAAAATACTAACCTGGGCAGAGTTCTGTGCTACTACAGTTTCATTGTTTCTGGTAGTCAAGCCAGGGTTGGCCTAGGAGACCAGGAACACCAGGTGACCATGGAGGGTCACCCTGGCTGTCACTCAGCTCTCTGCCCTACACCACCAACGTCTTGAGACTCAAGGCAACACAGTCATGGTCTTCTTACAAACACCAGCAACTTGCATCCCAGAATGAAACTACGGAGCCCCCTGAAGAAGTTTGCATTATTTTGCTAAACAGAGTGTTTAAAACTTTTATTTTCTTCATAAAAGCTGAAAGACACCTTTACACTTCCACCCCAGGGGGTTGCTATTTGTTCCTTTGAAAAGAAATTGAGGGAATTATTTGTCCTGCACAGGCAAGACCACAGGTCTTTTTTTTCTCTACAGGTCCAGAAACCCATCGCCTTAACCACAATCGCCAAGGATCCTCAAATTCAGGCTGCTTTCAAAGTACCTTAATGAGCTTTAATGAGCTTTACCTCGTAGGAGTCTTTATTTGCCTTGTATTTTTCTATCTGGTATAGCTGGTTCTTGTGGCAAATATTGTCCTGGCCTTCAGACTTCTGTGGAGAGAGAAGCACAGAAAAGTGAAGTATGTAAGCTAATTAGAGAAAACCAACGTTCAATTACTGCTTAATGGATCGTATTGACACTTGGCATTCAGTGGAGGTGCATCAACTTACAGAGGTAGTGAATTTGGTCCATTACATTTTAAATATCATTGATGGCATCATCATTAAAACAAGCTTGCTAAAAGAACTGAGAAAACAAAAAACCTAAGAAGCTGTTGTCAGATCAGAAGGCTGTTGGGAATAATTTCTCTAAGAAGCAAACACATTAAGAAGAAAACTCCATACAACCCACCCTCCTACCCACACAGTCACGTAGGAGCCTACAGATCCTCAACTAGTTAAGACTCCCCGCCAGACCACAGGCAGCTGTGTGAAGAGGCCAAGGGAAGAGAGCGTGCAGCTTGTCTTTGTGCGCTGTGCCCACCCTAGCACTCCAGCAAGTACCACGCAAAACGTGGCCTGAGAGCTCCGCTCCCCAGGAGGCACCAGGAAGGATGACATGTGGCAGCAGACTCCTGCCCTAGAGAAAGCTGCTGTGCAAAGCCATCAGCAGTGTTTCTGACCCCCAAGCCATACTCAGGGTCCAGGAAGGCTGGCAGGAGATTAGGAGACTTTATATTCATGTTATTTCTCATGTAAAAATTTCAGCTAAGTTTTCACTTACAAACTAAATAAAATCTTAGTAGCTCTTAAGCTTCCTCTTGATTTCCTGAATCAAATTACATTCTGTTATTGATATTTCAAGTGGCAGGATTATCTCAACATACGGACACAGTACACCACAAGTCACAAGTAAGGCTTTCAGTTTGCTTTCTATAGGGTAACTGCCTAGCCGGAGGGGATCTCCTATGGAAACACGGACTTGTGAGATGGAAAGCCCATCAGCAATTATCTCTGCAGCCTGGGGAATTCTCATCTGAAATAATGCTGTTAGTTTGCGAGGAATGCTTCCCTTTCATGGTTACTGCTACAAAATTAGAAAAAAAACCCCCTCAGGTAAAGCCTTGAGATCAATGCCAGCAAGCACATTTTTACCCTCTTTACCTGCTTGTCCAAAGAATCAGCATCAAGCAGTACTTACCCTAAGGCTTGCCAAGTAGCGCTCAAGCTTCTTATTAAGTAGAAAGTAGATGGCAAGCGTGTGACTTGCCCTGTTTGAGAGCACAGTGTTGATGACGTCGCTGTTCTTGTAGCCGAGCTTCTCAGTCATATGGAGCAGCACGCTTTGGCTGAGGTCCTCAAGGTGAATCCTGCACAGAGAGAGGCAGAGCGTGCTGTTCATACCGTCCTCCCACAGGCAGAGCCTTGCCAGCTACGGGGGACGTGGCAGAGTGTAAAGAAGAGGCCTGAAAGGCTCAGTAATGTGGGTGTGATTTGCTCCCTTCTTTCGTGAGCAGGTACAAGAAGGACAGACTATTCGGGAGTCGTGGACACTGCGGGAAGCCGTGATAGCTGAACGAACAGCACTCTTCCCACCAAGTCAGAGGGACCTCATGTCCTACCCTGACCTGAAATGGCACTGTGATGCTCAGGATGCTGCCACTTGTTACCCTACATCTGACCGGTGAAGACCATCACGATCATTCAGCTGGTTTTGAAGGAAAAGAGGTAAAATCCAGCTCAGGTAGCTACATTTTGCTACCTGAAATGACCCTTTTCTTGTAATTAAACACCACAGCGTTCAGCTTCACCCTGTACCTGTTGCACGATGTTCATGCACTAAGTAGCTAGAGAATTTCACCCCAGAGAAAGGGGACGTACAAGGAGGGTTATTACAGCAGCTCTCAAACTGGTAAACCTACTGCTATACTCATGTCAGTTAAAAGCACAAGTACAACACGTGTTTATGTATGTGCTCTCTTGTAAAGTCTGTAACAGACTCAGCCAAGGCGAAAAATGGGTTACAGCAGCCTTGTGGAAATGGCAAAGCATCTTCCCAGTCTAAGTTAAAACCAGATTTTCCAAAGAACTCTGCTCCTATTTAGACCTCTAAATGCGCTGGCCAGCTTCCCAGATGTGCCTGTCAGCTCCCATCCATCTCCAAAGCAATGCTGGGTTTCATTTGGTTTCTAAAGGATATTCCTTGCTCCTAATATCAAGCCTAATATCTGGCTAAGGCAACTTAGGGGAGCTTAGGTTGTGGGCTTTTTTTACAACCTGCCTTCCCCCTTCAAAAGGACCATTCTCCACCTTTCCCACACCTGCCCTGCTGTCCCCCTGTCCTGTGCACCTGTGATGTGAGGAATGCCCAGAAAGCAGCCTGGGTCTGACGCAGAGGACTTAGACAAGGTGTAAAACACAGTCTGGAAAATCTCAAATAACTCTTTTCCTTTATTCGGTGTGCTTATTAACATTCGTTCTGCAGCTAAGGAATGCTGGGGGTTCGGGTTTTTTTTTCCTAACTTCAAAAGCAAAACTTATCTCAGCCATTGCACGTTAAAGCATCTGGACAGCAAAAGAAATTCAAACAATTTCTACTTGAAGTGCTCAGCAAAATGGGAAATTTTTGCTTGCCTTCGGGGAATTTCTTTAATAAAAGCAAGCTTATAAAAAGCCTGGGAGAATATTCTCCTGAAAATGCAGTTTCTGCCATTCTTCCGTCTTATATCCATGCTCTCCCTTTTCCTACCAAATCCTTGTCTTGGGAACAATGGGTGTTACACCCAAAATGGTGGAAGAGCACTGCAAGGATATAACACAGCTTCTTGCTTGTGTTATAAAAAGCATGACTGAGAGAGGAAATGATTCCTTGCAAATTCAGTAGTGGATTTTTCAGAACTATTTTGATACATCTTACCCACATCTGCACACTTAACGAAAACTTCGGAGAAACTCTGTCGAAGCTGACTCTAGTGGTACTTTCTGAGGCAAGCTCAAAATGAGTCTAGCCATGTCTTTAAATATTACAAACTTTAAAGAGTATTTTCCCTATAAGGCTCCAGTATGACAAATTCTAGGTAGGTCAAGCTTGGGGCATCGACTAATTAAACTAAAGAAATACTATCCAAAAAATGAAGTGGAAGAAAGAATCTGTATGGCTTTTATCCTTTACAGCTTCACATAAAATGTGGGTTCAGATAGAAGGAGTATCTACTTTTGTTTTCAGACCAAATGATGAGAAAGGCAGTGCAATGAGAAAGAAAGAAAAAAAGTAACTGATTTTTTTCAACAGCAAAGCATAGAATTTCACATTGATGTTCCCTTTAAAAGTGCTTATAATAGGAAAGGATTATTATCATCACCATATACACATATACGCATGAGCAAACATATGCCCTCTCTATAGTTCGGCACTACATTTTCTTCTGTTCTTCCATTTGATTCGCTTGCCTTTAGGAGGGAATGATTAATGGGCACTCCATAAATAAAGAGCATTGCGCAGCCATTCCGTCTAATAGAGGCCGGCCTCTTTTGTAAGTCATCTACCTAACTGCACCCATGAGCAGACTCTAGAAGGGATGCTTCCACCACAACCTGACTAAAGCGTGACAACTGCAAGCTAAGTCAAAAATAGAGGCATGAAAATGTACCTACAAATGCAAAAGAATTGTGAAAGCACATACCATATTTCTTTCTTTTTTCCTCTTTTCTGCAGATAAGATGCACACAGCAAAAGAATTAAATTACCCATACAGCTCTCAGTTACACTCAACAGATGCCACGTTTAGTAGATTGATTAGACTCATTATGACAGTGATTTCATTAGCTTAATGATTCATTCAGTTTACACTTGTTTTCCCTTTCTTTACCATACAATGTTCGCATGTACCATACTTCAGTACAGTTCAATGCACCATGGAAACTCAGATTTCCTTTTGTTGGACAGCATACTAAGTAAATTAACTCAACTGCCCTTAAATTTGGGGCAGTAATGTCGAGATAATGGGTCTGCCTGTTCTCATTCTTATTCCTTGTGAAACAATTGTTCGTAGGGGCCATCTTTACATTCTGCCCACGTAGGTCTGGGGATTGCAGGCAGCTGGCCTCACATTTGCCCTCCCTGTTTCAGTGGATGGGTCTAGTGATGCCTCCAGGCATCCAAGCTGCTCAACATCTATCCAACCGTATTTTGAGAGCGGGTGACCTGTTGTTCTCCTCAGGTCAAAGAAAGGCATAGTCACACAATGCAGTACTTGAATCTTAAGACACTACCTCTGGGAGGGAAATGCCTGCTGCTAAATTAGGGCACCTCCGTTGCCTGTCAATGCAGAAGGAAAAGAGGTGTGACTCAGGTAGGAGCCAGGACTGTGTGGGCTGCGATCCATAAGCCAGCCAACAGCAACGTCAAAGGGAAAGGTCTCCAAAAATTCGTAAAGGCTGTCCTGAGATTCAAGGCTCAAACTCATTGCTTGTGCCCAGGTCTCAGCACGTTCAAGCAGTAGCAGCACTCATCACCTGCTTCAGCAGTAAGAGGGGTGCTGCAGGTGCCTCTCAGCCCCACAAGGGGTTGGACCCACAGCTCTGAAACATACCCTGTTTATCTGGCTAGCGGTGGAGCAGAGGGGAAAATGGGTGGGAAGCATTCCTACCAGCAAAGCTGTGACCTGGGCTGAATGTTGAAGGCTGGCTGTATGTGTGGCTTGAGCATGCCTATGGGACTAAGTCCTTCAGGGCACCGACACAAAGAGATGGCCTGGTTGGTGAACACCAAAACATTTTTGGGTGGAGGACAGTGGTTCAGACGTTGAGACAAAAGTAAGTCGTCATGCCCCTAGGCATACGCTACATCTGGTATCTGGCAACTGAGTAAACTGTAGCGGGGAAGTTAGGATCTTCACATAACAAGTCTCCTCTTAGCAAGTTAGGACAGAAATTTTGGGGCACTATCAAATTTTAAGCACCAAAATTAGGCTTTAAGTTGCTGCCTTTTCCTCAATGTTGCTGAGGATCTTGGCCTGCGAGCTAGTAACTCCTACAGTGAATCCTCCGCAGGTACTAGATTGTGTATGAGACACAGCTGGAGGGCTTTGATACAGGAAGGCGGTTTTATCTGATCAAATGCAGACATATATTTCTAAGTGAGTTGCCTGAGGCTCCATTTACAGTCTACTGGAGAGGAACTCCGATCTCCTGGGCACAAAGTCATCCTGTTGCAGAATCAAAAAGAAGTCAGATGAATCATTCTGTAAAAAGTGCCCTTATTTCTCTCCATTGATTGTAAAACGAGAGCCCAGGCTGGCTGGCTCATGAGTCGACTCTACACTGCAGATTTTTAAAGTCAAGCAAGATTATTTCTAACCAAAGTGGACCACAAGTATCTTTCTTTCTTTTTCTTTTTCCCTAGATGGATGGACTGGCCATGAGATTTATTCTCTGTTTGCATTTAGTCATGCATTCAGTGTTGCACAGGTATTCAAGATCAACAATCAACAAAGCAAGATCATTTAACTCTGACCTTTCTCACCACGGTTTGCATATTTACCTAATCCACAGAACCTCACGTATCTAACACAAACAGCATAGCCTCTACTGGAAAAGTAGCTTGGCTTTTACTGACAAACAAGGAGAAGATCAGAACTGATGAACTACCTGTCACTGATATCCATTCCAAGGTCTGGAGCCAATTAGTCATGTGATCTGCATCCCAGACCACCCTGCAAATAATGCATGATATGCCAGCTTCTAATTTAAGGTATTGGTTTTGACCATTTTAAGCAACACATTTTCAATGGCCAATCCTAACAACTTTTAGGATGAAGTCACAAAAGCAATCCCAGAACATGCAGTGGGATGCTGTCGCACAAGGAATGACACTGCAACACCAGAGTCATATACATTTTAATGTAAACCCTGGCAGGCTTTCTCCACTCTTTTGCACAGTACCTGTTTGGATATGTGACATTAGGTGGTGCTCTCCCAGGGTAATTCTCATTAAGCCATCGATTTGCAAGCGCCTGCTGGATGTTTGGTCTCTTTGCAGGATCTGGCTCTAGTAGAGATCGCAGAAAGTTTATGGCCGCTGTGAAGAAATCAAGAAAAACAACATCTATGTCATATGCTTTATGACTTAACACAGTAGTTGAGTTACTACAGGTGTGCAGCCTGACCAAGAGTATACTAAAAAGGAACATTTTCCTTACGGTATGCTCTAATGTCCTTGACAAAAAGGAAAACCTGATAAGAGATTAGTAAGTAAAATAAACAATGATTTATAGTCACAATGATTTATAGAGACATAAAGTAGAGGAGAAAAAGCGCCTTTTGTTTCAGAGCTTGTTTGAAGTTTCCAAGCAGGTTACCCAAAACTTAATTTTTGTATGAGGACAGGAGGCTGGAGTCAGGTCAGAGGCAAATCACTCAGTCTGTGTTTAAAGTAGAAGGAGATGGACTGGGGGTGGAGGGGAGGGATGCAGAGCTGGGAGGGAAGACATGGAGAACTGGGCTCCCTTTGACACTATAAGGACAAATTCTCTCCTGGCTTCCATCCAAGCTACAATCAGTTGCAGGAGGTTTTAGCCAAATTAAAAGAGTACAGTAAAATTAATGGGCTTCGTTCTGTTTTCAGATACTGAACCTTCAACTTTCAGTGACATTCAACCATCCCTCGGGAGTTTCGTGCAAAAACCCTCAAAAGTATTTTTCTGATATTTTTAACTCATGTGCTTCTTATATGGTTACGGGCAATGAAATCAAGTGATTTGCATAAAGACTCACAAGAAGTACATATCTGAGCTGAAAATAAACTCTGTTTTAACTAGGTCTGGTCTTTATTCCTCAAATTATCAAGGCTAGATTCAGTTTATCAGCTACAAGATAGTAAAGAATTATGTCCTCTGCAATTCCCTGCATGAAAGATAAAGAAACCTAATTGTGGGAAAACCAAGATTGGAATGATTTTGTAGAGGAGATACAGTCAAGTGAGATGATGCCAAATGAGTCCTAAATGAAGTCAACGGCAAGCAAGAGGCAGAAGTGATGGCTGTGGCACAATTTTCTCCAGGTCAGATGGACAGGACCTTGGGGGCTTTTTTCCATCTTCTCCCACAGCAGAGCTGTGGTTCCCCTCCCATGCTCTCCTGAGCGTGTTGTGTCTACTCATCTCCTAACTAGTGCAGGTGCCCTGGGCAGTGGCAGCACAGGACCACTGTGACACAGGATGGTGTCCTCTGGGATGTGTCTTCTGGGTAAGCTGCAGTACAGCCTTGCCAACACAGCTACTTCAGCTCAGTGCAGGCATCCCCTACTCTGAAGCAGAGCAGCTGCGACATGTCTTCTCCACCCGCAATACAGCGAAACCCTCGTGAATCCCTGGCCCCACATGCAATTTAAGGAGAATAATATGCCTGCTGCTGAGGCCATGATGTCCTTGTCTGAAAAAGGAATAAAAGTTAACGTAGGCACATCGCCGCTGCCCTTCACAGGTTCTCTATGAGACTACTGCCCTCCTCTGTGTTTGCCTGGCTGCCTGCCCAAGCGTTTTTATCTCCCCAAGCCCACCTGCATCACCCCCCACCTGCAGTTTGGGACAGGGTGGCTGGGCTGATGTCCCAGGGCAGGACGGCGGACGAGGAAGGGAGGGTTTCTCCTCAAATAAATCAGGGTTAGACCCGATAGGTACCAACTCCTAACAGCTTGGGTAACCTCGGCA